TGACCTCTTTAAACACACCACCCGCCTGGTATAAACACGCCTCTATCGACTCCCTCAGCAACCCCTAGTAAGCCTAAGCATGTGCCTAAGTCAAAGGCAAATCCAATTGCTGTCTCAGCCACTCGGACACCCAATAAATCCAGCACCAGTATAAAATGTTTTCCTCCACAATCGGCGAACAGTGCCTCAAATACCCCGACTCAAAACGTAGCGGGTTCGCAACTGCCCCCCAGCCCTCATATCAAGGCAGTTAGGCCGAATATGCCGATTTTCCCACCGTTTAATAGACCTCTTGTTTCAATGGAAACAATGCGTCCCCCACCCCCTAACTTGTTTCCTCCACGGCCGTTTTACAAATTTATTCCTCCTGGTAATGTCCATACTGAATCAGTTAATTCATCCGATCCTCAGTTTCGTCCCGGCGGGAATACGTTGCAGTATCTGCCCCGCGGATTTCCAGCTGAAAATAAGTTAGCTAACAATAGTTACCAGTTTACCTGCCCGTCATTCCCTCCCCCAAGTCCTCCCCTTTTTTATCCACGTCAGAATTTTTTGATGCCACAAAATGTTTTGCAGAACCGGATGGTTGCATCCGGACCGTTTGCTCCGTGGGCGACTCAGAACTGGACGATGTAGCCCACCTCCCTAAAAAACTAACAGCCCATCCCTTCAAACTATTTTTGTTTTAAATGTCAGATCCTTGCTTAATAAGATGCCTTTGCTTCAAACTCAGGTTTTCATCCATTGTCCTGATATTGTTTTAGTAACTGAGACGTGAGCATCAGCCTCAGTAGCTGACTCCGAACTCTCTCTTCTAGGCTACAATGATCACTAAGATAGACGTGGTGGGGGCAGCTGCGTCTACGTTAAGCAAAAACTTACATGTTTGCCATTGGACCTCCCGCACTTTTCAGCGGTAGAAGGCAGCTGCTGGCTCCAGGTTGCACTAAAAAATAAGTTCTCCTTACTCGTTGCCTGCGTCTATCGCCCTCCCAACGCCAATGACAATTTTGATAGTTTACTCTCACAGGCATTTCATGCTGCGGCCGACTCGAGTTTTAAGTATCAACTGGTTGCGGGTGACTTTAATCTCCCTGAAGTCCGCTGGTCTCCGCCTTCAGGCCCCAGAAGGTTCGATGGCTTTCTTGAGGCTGTGGATGTCGGGATGTGGACTCAGGTTGTTGATTTCCCCACCCGAGGCTCAAGTATACTTGACTTAATTTTCTGTAGAGGCTGCTTACCATCGTCAGTGTCATCCCTAGGCCCAGTCGGGGGCTCAGACCATGACATAGTTGTATCAACGTTGGAATTCGAGGCTGACGAAATGTCGTCCCAAAAGTATAAATTTTACCGCGATTTCCGATCAACTCGCTCAACCGAATTATTAACACACCTTAATTCCTACGACTGGACTGAGTTATTCCTTCGTTTGGATGTAAATGTTTGCACTGCAAAACTGTACGAAATTTTGCGTCCGCTTATTTCTCGTTTTATTCCTGCGTAAGAGAATTATTAATGTTGGGGATGAGATTTTCCGACCTTTACGCTTTCGTCGCAGATTGCGCAGGCTTCATTTTCGTTTCCATCTGCAGAACAATGTTTCTGTTATGCCCTTGATTTGTGATATTTTTGATTGAGCTAAGAGATTGTCTGAAGAAAAACAGCTAGCCGAAGTGGTCCACTTTACTGAAAACCATTCGTTAAGTGTCTCGATACATTGCTCTAGAAAAATACGAACTCAGAGTAAGACGCATTATCCCATCCTTCGAGACGATCTCAGAAATCCCATAGTTAATGCCCAGTTAACCGCGGATAGCTTCAATGATTTCCTGTCCAAAACGTTTATTGAAGACTCGACCACTCCGCTTCCGACCATCCAGTCATTGACCGGGGCAGTTCTAGAAAATATGACTTTCACTTTGTGGGATGTGACTGTTGCGATTCGGCATTTTCGTCAATCTTATAGTCCAGGCCCTGATGGTGTCCCAGTAAGCCTTTTAAA